AGGAGGTTAAAAAGGTAATCTCTGGGAGCTAAGCTGGAGCTGAGCCTGGCACTGCCTGACAAACTACGACATCCTTCCCCTCTTCTCCACCATACAGTGACACCGGGGTGAGGTTTGGGGTTGCTGTAAGGAGAGTTGTCTTTTCAGAGCAGGTTTTTGGGATGGGCTAAGCAGCTGCAGGCACAAAGCAGTGACTGGGGCTGGCTGAAGGTCTCCCTTTGCCAAAGGAAGCTTTGTTTGCATGCTGAGTGACTCCCGTGCAGCAAACCTGTGGTGTGTGAGAACGGTTTTGTTTTTGTCTCCCGCAGGACGTAGCCATTTCTCCAAAGCAGAGGGATGAGGTCATCCAGTGGCTGGCCAAGCTCAAATACCAGTTCCACCTTTACCCAGAGACACTCGCCCTGGCCATCAGCCTCTTGGACAGGTTTTTAGCTGCAGTAAAGGTAAACATTTGCAGAGCCACAGACCCCCCCACTGCTGTCTGAGTGCCGTAGCTGGATGGAAACACGTCCGTCCCCCTGGTGCTCACAGCCCATCCCTGCTCACACGTGCACGGGCTGGCACCTGCCCTGCCCCTCGAGAGACAATCCCTGCCTTACCCAGCAAGGCAAGGGCAGTGCCCACACCTCCCAGTACAGCCTGAGGCCCAGAGTGTCAGGGAGGGCACTGCTCACCTCTGTTTCCGCGGTGTTTGAACTGCATCCATCCTCTTTGTACCATCTGGAATTGCCAGGAGCACCTGCTAGCAGGGACCTAGCTGGGAAAAGCATCTCTGAGGAGAGTTTGAGCCTGGGAGGCAGGCTAGTGCAGGGAAACAGGGAACAACAAGTGGGGAAGCAGATAGAACCAGAGGCAATTGCTCTGGGGGAGCAACCTGCTCCACAGCCAGTGTGGCCTCACATTTCCACACTGCTGTGTGAAGGCCAGAGGTGAGCAGGCACACGTGTGAGCTGTCCCAGCACCAGCTGTGCCTGCTGCTCTGCTGGGCCCAGTGGGGAACACACAAGCCCCTTTGCTTTTAAGGCTGTTCCACCACAGAAACTGCTTAAAAAGGGGGAAAATCAGCATTTGGGCTACCTGCAAGTGGGACCTGCTGCTGCTCTGGCCCTGTTGGGCTGTGGTTTGCATCTGCCACGGGAGTGAACAAACTGTGGTCCAGCCTGGAATCCCTGGCCTGGAGCTGTGACGTCAGGCTTGGGATGGTTATCTCTTATCATGTTTGCTCAGTTCCATTCCGTGCTCAGCAAATCCACAGTCTCATCTGCACGTGTCTCCCCTCCCAGCAATATCCCTTAGGAGAGGGAAGCAGAGGGACATGCCTGTGCCCTTGACTGAGTCTGGTACAACAAAAGTGACATAGTTCATTATCACACCCTTTAAATGTCAATAAATATTGACCAGTTTTCATACAAGCCATGGAAGTTCTCATTTTTAAGGAGATCCCAAAGTAGCTGATTTACTGAGATGGGAAAGATTTAGATCCCTCAGCAGCCAATGCCCTTGAGGATAGTTTGTCTTACAATGAGTTGAAGCAGTGAAGGAGTCTGTACAGGAAGAATGGGAGTATGAGTGAGGAGCCCACTGCAAGCTTTGGAAGCACAGAAAGGGGAAAGGTGCTTTGCCTGAGGGAGCAGCAGGGCTGTGTGCTCCCTCCCCAGTGTTCCTCTCCCGTAAGGCTGTCACTCCTCTGAGGCAGCTGAACTGGTTTTCACCAGGCACTACCATGAGGGATTTTATCAGGAAGACCACCAGTCCCTTCCCTTCCCTGGGAACATGGTTTGGGATTGCTGGGACTGTTCCCCACAGCCATCTCAGTGCAGAGCACTCAGCCCTCAGCAGAGACAGTGCCAGTCCTGCCCTAAGGGAATTCATTCTCTTGGACACCTGATGCACAAGTGCAGGTTGTGAGTGGAGTTTTGGGTTTGGCTTACCTGTACCAGGAGCTGCTGGAGCTGGGGCATGACTCTGCAGCTGTGCCAAGGCTCAGGAACAGCATCTCCTTCCCAGCCCCTGCCCACTGTGGAGGTGGCCACGTGTCTGGTGGTTGTGTAACCGACAGTGCCAGTGAAGCCCTTTGTCAAGGTGGTCACACAGACAAAGCTCTTAAAAAAATCCTCCTTTCCCCTCCAAATTCCACTTACCTTGCCTAAACCATCTCCCTGTGGAAGGGACCAGCTCTCACTAATCCCTGGGCCACAGTTTGGGGAATTGGAGTGTGAAACTGGATGGTGTTTTTCTGAGTGTTTTAAGCCTTGTCCAATTCCTTCCTTCCCTGCCCCATATGGCCCACAGCAGCACTCAGGGCAGAGCTGTGCTGCAGCAGGTGGAGTGGCAATGCTTTTCTGGGAAGGGCAGCCTGGCCCTGTGGATTTTCTCTCTCCCATTTGTGCTGCAGCACCTAAACCTGAGCTCTTCCCATTCTTCCTGTTCCAAGCACGGAGCTGGCAGTGCTGCTGTGCCTGATGCCATGGAGCAGGGATTAGCACTGCCAGGGTATGGTTAGAGGTCAGCCTGCTGAGCCAGTAGGACCCTGGGGCTTGGGATGTCCAACCACAAAGATCAGGGCATTGTTCCTGCATCACACTGACACAGAGGCTCTTCTGCCCCACAGGCCCGTCCAAAATACCTGAACTGTATTGCAATCAGCTGCTTCTTCCTCGCTGCAAAGACCATTGAGGAAGATGAGGTAACTGTTCCCCCTACCTTGGCACTGGTGGGATATGTGCCCTGCACTCCTGCCTCTGCCTGCACACAGTGGCTGACACATACCAGGGCAGGAGTGAAGCGTTTGGTGTGATGTCTCTAACATTGATTCTCCTGTTTCTTTTTCTGCCTTGGCTGTTGCAGAGGATTCCAGTACTGAAAGTGTTGGCTCGGGATAGCTTTTGTGGTTGTTCTCCAGCTGAAATTCGCAGAATGGAGAAGATCATCCTGGATAAGCTGAACTGGGATCTCCACATGGCAACGCCACTGGATTTCCTTCATATTGTAAGTAACGATGTCCTTCCTGGTGTCCATCAGTGTAAATAACACTGAGGAGACCGAGACAAAAGTTCTGTCTGAGGGGAGCAAAGGCCTCGGGATGTGTTTGTAATTCCTCCATACAAGCAGTTTCTGAAAGCAGCAGCCCTGCCAGAGTTTCACAGCAGACCTGGGACCCTTGGAGTGCAATTTCCAAAGCATGGACCTGCCATCTGCCCCTCTGAGCTGCGTTAAGCCACACACAGGCTCACAGCTCCTGAAAATCCTGCCCTAACTCCTCACAGCCAGTGGGTTGGCACAAAGCTGAATGCCAGGCAGCATGGAAACAGGGAGTGCAGCCATGGAGAAAGCCCCGAGGCTGAGCCAGGCACAGCCAGGGAGCCAGATCCATGCATGGGATGAGACAAAGAGGCATCCTTAGGTTCTCTGTGGCATTTTATCCTCTCTCCTTGCCCGAGGAGGTTTTGCCAAGGCCCTGGCACGGCCACACCTGTGCTGCTGAGAGAGAAGGGTGGCAGGGCATGGCCTGGTCCCCAGGCAGATGGCAGCTCCCACCAGAACAGCTGCACCAAGCTTTGGTGGGGTCAGCACGTCGGGTTCTTCCCCACGGCCTGGAAATTGCCTCCAAGGTGAAACTGGAGGATCCCTGTATGCCCGAGCCCTCTCGCATGCCGTTCCCAAGGGACTCCATGGCTTGGCCCGTGCCACAGCTGCCTCCTGTGCTTGTCTCCCCAGTTCCACGCGGTCGCGGTGTCCAACAGGCCGCAGCTCCTGACCGTCCTGCCCACGCTCAGCCCCTCGCAGCACGTGGCGGCGCTCACCAAGCAGCTGCTGCACTGCATGGCCTGCTACCAGCTGCTGCAGTTCAAGGGCTCCATGCTGGCGCTGGCCATCGTCAGCCTGGAGCTGGAGAAGCTGCTCCCCGACTGGCTGGCTCTCATCATCGAGCTGCTCCAGAAGGCACAGGTGAGGGGGCTGGCACTGGTGGGACTGGGATCGCACCCCGCTCGGGGATCCAGGGCGGCCTGCTGGCACAGTGCTGCCAACTCTCAATCCTCACCACATCCAGTGGGTGGCTAAGCGGGAGCTGTGTGTCCTGCTGCACCAGGG